GTCCAGGGTTTTGGGACGTCTCTTGAACCATGTGTGGCCTTCTCAATTCCGTCTTGCCAGGGGAGGACTGTCCTCGATACGACAGCCAGCAGGGGAACAGCTGGCAACAAAGGCGAGGATGGAAGAGAAGCTGAATGTGAGGAAGCATACTCTGTAAAAGGTATGCAAAAAAATTTTTTTTTTTAAAGTCCTACTCCGTACGGAGTACTCCGTATTATTATATGGTATACGAAGCATTCTCGTCGAAATCCCAGGTAATAATATGTGGAATATCTGGAGGCAAACTGGTCATCAGCAAAGTGATTCGTTCGCACTGACTGTGGTTGCAGATGCCTACGAAGTATGGGTGCAGAGTGTCTCCTCCTCTGTGCCTGTCTCGATCGGAGCCATGGCTGAGAGTTGCCCGCCACTTTGGACGTTGGGTCCTTGATGATCCTTCATTTCCTCCTCTCCATCAAAGTGCGCACACACGAACAGCATATCCATTCGTGGCCAGCCCCTCATGAGGGATAGGCTAGGAAGTGATTCCTGCCCAGTGGGAGACTAGCTGCTTGGCTAATAACGGTGGAAGGGCAGCTCGAGACCATCGCTGCAACGTTTACGGATTTTATGAGAAGACATGACGCTAGCGGGACATGACAGCCTCCCTGACTGGTCTGTTTCGATCAGTCGTTCCCAACTAGTCAAGGGTAAACGACGATTCATCTCGACGTGGTTGGCTCACCTGTTCACCTGTCACTGTCCTGGTTCTCTGGTTCGCCCTCGTCTTTTATTATTTGTGATGGGTATGGCTGAATCGAGCGACTCAGTCGAGGAAGACTAGTAAGGCGGATTTTCGATGCATCTGCAGCACCCACACGTGTATGCAAGGGCAGAGAGCCAGTGGTTCGTCTCCTGGTGATGCTTCGTCGATTCGTGAGTTGAAACATCGACCTGCAAATACACATAAATTCAGGACGGCGATGTGGTGTGGTGCTCTGTAGCGTTGGGCTGAGAAGGCTGTCACCCCTTTTGCCAGTCAAGCCAAAGGGTTACGACGAGCGGATACACTATACACTTTCGATGGCAAGCCATTCTGAATCAATGAGCACCGAGGGAAGGGAACCGGACAGGAGTCTCGATCGGCCTGGTCAGTCGCCGTTTAATCTCTTCGACTTTCCCCTTCCCCAATCTTCCCCAAGATTCGTTGTCTTAACGGTCTCGACTCCCACAACTCCAGAGATCATCAGCTTAGTCTGTCAACGGCGTCTTTCCAGTGGACGTCCAAGCTACCCTATAAGGATGTACAACGCAACATAAGGGCTCCGTAGCGCTGGAGCATTCAGACCCAAGAGAAGGGATCAAACCGTCAGACCAATCATCCACAACAGGACGGCTTGTGTACGCTTATTCGAGAGTAATGCAGAAGAAGGAAAAAAAAACCTCCATCGGGCTAAGTAACCGTCTCTATCCTCCACGAGTCAAGCCTTTCCCAGCCAGCAGAGAGGGAAGTCGCCCCCTATTCCTGCTGTTTTTCTTTTTCAAGTCGTTCTTTTTTGTGTGTATTTTATTATTTTATTATTCCTGCGGAACAAAAATGACACGGCGAGAAAAGAAAAGCGACAGCTAACAAAAACAAAAAGGAAACGGAACCTAACAAGCTATCGCGGGTCCGATTCCGACAAGTCGCTGCCTCACGTTCCCCGGACCAGGGTCGTGTCTGTGTACGATGCAGAGGCACACGCACACAAAGAGTGACCGGCAGGCGTCTACGGGATAAATCGCATGCGGCGGCAGTTGGATGGTCGGCGTGATGAGACGCTGGTGAGCGGTCAGGTTGACTCTCCCACGGGCCTTCTTTTGCTTCTGCCTCGCCGGCTCTCTACCACGGAACCAGCGAGAGCAAGAGAGAGAGAGAGTGTGTGTGTGGGTGTGCGAGAGAAGCCTGGTCCTGACCGTCTATTTACTCTGCGTATCGGGGATGTCTGATGCCTCTCCGGCTGGACTCTTGACAAAGACAATGGCAGCTGTCCCGACGGCCCGGCACATTCATCCCCCAAGCGACACAGACGGAACAGCATATAGATATAGAAAGCAGCGCATACAAAGAGGGAGCACAAAGCAAAGCACAAACGCGAAGCGAGAGGGAGAAAGAACTGGAGTCCCAGCGCTGCGGAATAAAGGGAAATAAATGCAAAAATGCAAAAATAAAAAGGCTCATCACAATCCAGTCAATCAGAGCGATTGTTATTACGATTATTATGGGTAAGCCGGCGAATCGCGGCTGGCTGACTGGGATAATATTATTTATTTTTATCCTCCGTATGGGCTTCTCTTCCCCGGTGGCCCCCCCCTTCCCCCCGCCCCCTGCAGTGGCCCTCCTGCACTCCGCCAACGGCTTTTTTTTTTTTTTTTTACGGAGCCAGCCAGTCGAAGAGACTGAAAACTGAGAACGATGGAGATGAGCTTATGGAGCCTTAAGCACGGAGGACCGTAGATGGCCTACGAATACATTTTGCGCACGGCGTACGGCACTTACATGGCTGCCTGTGACCCTGATGCTGCCCGTAACCGGCCCTTGCGTCACTCAACGGCGTCGACTCGACTCGAACTCGACCAGCAGTCCCGGCCGGAGCAGGTGGCCGTCCACTTCTGCCGTGGCGCGACAAGCCCAGGGACAACAAAACACAGGGGAGGGAGGGTGTCCAGTCCGTCCCTATACGAGCCGTCGTGTCGCCTCAACAGACATATACATAATATATCGGTGTGAAGGACCTTTGAACATCGTGCAGGCACAGGTCCGGAACCGGGGAGTTTTTATTTTTACTCTTCGTTAATTTAACTACGTGCCGCCGACCGCTGCTGCTGATGCTGCTGCTGCTGCTGGCTGGCTGGCTGGCTGCCCAAGCCCGGAGCGACTACCCGCGCCCAAAAAAAAGGGGAGCAAGACGAAGCAGAAGCAGAAGATGCAGTGTCAGAAAATGTTGTTGGTAGCTATATTGCTTCCGGCCAGGGCAGGGCACAGCGCAGCAACTGCAGGCCGAGTTCGAAATCGCACTTATTAATTTAATAATAAAGAGTGCTATCTGGAGTGTCCGAAAAACAGGGCTGTTCGACTCGGTGCACCGGCGAGATCTATAGTAGTTGATCCCGAAAAACAGGATCTCTCTGGGGTACGTCAAACTTCCTGTCTGCCGGCCTGGTTTCCACAAGGTGTCTTCCAGGGCAGAGCGCACACTCAAAAAAGATCATACACGCACGGTAATATGATCAACCCCATGAGGAGAAGAGGACGAAGCAAGGGAAAAAGGAATAAAAAGCAGGATAGCAACAGCTTCGATTCCAACAAAAAAGAAAAAAAGGAAAAAAGGGAAACAGGCGCCGCCTCCCGATATCTTGTTTACTTGTGTGTAACGGCGGCAGTCAGTTGGGGAGGTCTCACACTACGACTCTGCCTGCCGCCATCCCTCCCGTCCGCGTCCATAATCTCCGGGGAGCAAAAACAAGGGAGAGAGCTTAGAGGTTACAAGGGAATTAAGGAAGTGTTGCTGTTGGTCATCCTTGCCTAGGGGAGTCGTTGCCGTGCTGTGACGAGACCGCCTGTCCAGCCCATGATACAACAAACAACAAACGAGCGAGGACCAGGCATCCATCCTCATCCGTCCCTACTTACGGTGAGGCCACGAAGGGGGTGGTGATTGTCTTCATCAGCGACGACGACGACCCAACAACCAAGCCGTGAAGATGATGCAGTTAGTCACCGCCCGTTGCGCCAGGGTGTCTTCCTGCCGCGATGATTAGTCGAAGGGCTGACCAGACCGCCAGTTAAGGCATGGGAACTTGGAATCAACCACACCATCACGACGGAAGTATACGCAGAGTCACTCTGCTTGTGTCGAGTTGAAGAAAAGGGTGGTTTGAACTCTTCACGTCTTTGGCTCAAACGGTTCCCGCCCCCTTCTTCGCTCGAGACAGCCTTGGACCTCCCTCTGGTCGGCAAAAAAAGAGTGTAAAGTAAAGCATCAGGAGTCGCCAGGCAGCAGCAGCAGCAACAGGAGGATGATGAATATGAAAAAAAAGAGTTTCTAAGGGAGTCAGGCTCAGGCGTATTTTTCAATACAGACTGTGTAAGAGACATTACACTTGGCAGCTCTGCTACCCCCCGGGCTCAGCGGACCGTTCCATGGGATCTCTAACTACCTGGGGTAACTCCTGCGGCGTATCGTCTGGCCTGCTGCTGGCGAGCAAGGCGAGCACGACGAGAGAGAGACAAGAACGGCCGGAGACGGAGGTTAGGCTTCGCCTTGCTCCCTCCCTTTCTTGTGCTTGGTTATGCCCTCTGCCATGTAACTGTGCCTCTTGTCTCCTGGGCTTGTCTCTTGTCTCCTGCTACGCTGCCCACTCCCGTACGTATACTCCCTTTCACCCTTGAGCATGGCTGAGTGTGTGTGCGAGGCCACTACTCCGTACTGTTGTATGAGAAGTGGCCTCCATACATACCTACGCCTCACCCTACGCTAACGACTGGTTTATTATTTGCTTTTGGACCGGGGCACCGGTGTGTGCAAATCCGCTCCACCGCCCACAGTGATTCATAATAAGAATAATAATAATTCATATTTCATTTTTGCAATCTGTGTTTGGTTGGTACCATGTTTTATTTTTCGGCTTTCGGTTTTTGCATATGATATAACATTCTTTTTTCCTCCCTTGTCTCTCGTCTCCCTTTTCGTTGCTTTTTCCCTGTTCTCCTTGCTTTTCTTTTTGCAATATGGCTATTTTTTGCTTTTTTCGCCCTTTTGGCCCTTCGCCCTGGAGTATACCTTGACCTTGCACGAGCTATCATATCGAATAAATATAAGCAAGATGCTCGGCTTCATCCTTTTTGATATATATATATCTAACTACTCATCCTCCTCCACAACCAGCCCTGACCACGGATCTGAACACACTCACACACACACGTCTTATATCCAATATCAAAACTAATATAATATACAACGACGGAGAGCATCTTCTTTATGGCTTGCACGGCTATACAACCACCATCACTCTCATCGTCACTGTCGACCCTGCTATCAGCAGCATCATATACCAGCAGCATCAGCAACAGCAACAAGCAACAGAACTTCGACTCACGGAGCTACCAGACCAAGATGTGGCGAGGCTACGGCTTTGGCAGCAGTGCTGCATCCTCTCCAGTCTCACCACCATCGTCTTTCCCACAGCCAGCTCCTCCACCACCATCGCCATGCGACGGGCTGCTCGACATCTACCCTCGCAAGACATCCTTCTCAACCATCTCGGGAAGCAACACCTCCTGTGCCTTTCCCTCGTGGCCCAACCGATCATCTCTCTACTCTGGCTCCGAGGACGACAGCCACGGCTCTGCCTCGGCCTATCTCTCTGACGAGGACTTGTTCCCGATCTCATCTACTTCCTCATCATCCAACCCGATGCTGGCAGCCATGGAGACCCCCTTCGGAAGCGATAGCTTCGACGACAACGAAAACGCCATCATCGGAAACCCCGAGCTTACCACCGAGGAGCAGATCCGACACATGAACGAAACCGAGGACTGGCGCATGAGACAGTATGTCCAGGCCCAGGCTCAGGCTCGCGCTCTCCAGGCTCTCCGGGCCGCTCAGCTGGCAGCCGTGGAGCACGCGCAGGCTAGCAGACAGCGCAAGAAGCGCGCATCGGGATCGAGCAGCAAGAAGCGAAGAGCTCATCGTGGATCTGCCGCGGTTGCCGCTAGCAGTGGCGGAAGCAGCTCTTCCTCAACCTCGGCTTCTTCCAAGCAATAGATCACCGCCTATTATCATTATTATTGTTATCTACCTTCTCCTTTGTCAGCTCATATGATACCAACGACTTCAACGAAAGCACATGCACAACAGCAGCAGCTCCCATCACCAGCACCATCACCATCACCGTCACCGTCACCATCCACCGGCAGCCAACAAACGAAAACAAAAACAGACTTCCAGATGAGTCACTCCCCCCAAGGCTTCGGAGGGATGGTGGATGCCCAAGGCTCAGCGAGTTAGGCGCGTTCGGTGGTTTTCTTTTCTTTTGCCTTACACACTTTCGACCTTTTGAGTCTACTTTTTATTTTTTACCTTCGACTGTTGGGCATGGTATGGAAGCGCACATCCTGGTGATTGGCCGGCAGGGAGGTTTCACCGCTTCACCTTCACCCGACGAGGCCCGATCATGACCACTCCAGGGATGCTGTCACCGTCACCTTCGCCGCCAAAAGGCCAACAAACTTCTTCAGAGCGGCTTCGAGTCATCGTCATCGGATCCCTCAGCAGCGTCCGCCATCCCCATCTCCATCCCCAGCATCGTCCGCTTCGTCGTCGTCGCTTCCCGTCAGCCGCGATAAAAATAGCCCTTCCTGTCCCGAGGCCGAGGCTGACTTTGGAAGGGAGGGACTTGCTTATGTCAGCGACCTCTCTCGTCGGCTGATGCATGCACGTGGTCCAGGTCACGGAGTTGCCTTGCTTAGTCACCCCCTCACCGCCCCCTTCCTTCCTTCTTTCCGCGCGCAGCCTTGTTTATCCCTTTTTGATACCCAAAGCCTGTTTTTCTTCTTCTTTTACTTCTTTTACTTCATCTTCTTTTTCTTCATACGAGATACCCGGCCTTTATTTTTGATTATTAGCCCTTTCAAGCCCTTTTTAATGTGTGAGTGTTTTGTGGTTTATTATTTTATTTATCTCCTTTGTTGGAATTCCCTTTGTCATAGCGATATATACCCTTGAGCGTTGAGCGATACCATCATCATCATCATCATCATCAGTCATAGTTAGCAAGCAAATCTAGTTTTAGCTCCCTTTTAGTTATTAGTAATTCAAAACAAGTCATAAGCCATACAAAACACCGGTCAGCTTCCTCTTCCAGCTCCCTTTTTCCTCTTTCTCCATGCATCTCCGGCCTTGATTGTTGTGTAAGCCTGTGAAGCGAGAGCGCATGGCTAGGGTTGTACCATGGATCGGATCTTCCGGACGGCGGTGAGATGGGGGGAAAGAAAGTACTCCGTACATACTCCGTACTTTACCTTACTCCTTCCATACACACTTTCCGATCAATTTCTTATGATTAACACCAAGGTTAATAATGACAAGATGACAAGATGACCAGATCGTAAAGGGGTGCATGGCACTTGATCGGTGAAGCAAAAAAGTCTTGTCCTTTTTTCTTGACGGCTGCTCTGGACTCCAAACATCGGTGAAACTCGCATGAGATCGGTGAGAGACCAGGGAAAAACTAGCCAAAGTATCTCTCCAAATCGAGTCGACGAACCAGTCACGAAACTAGCAGGGTTGGTCGGACGGCGACGGCGACGGCGGCGGCGGCGGGCGGACGGGCGGGCGGCATGCGTCGCTCATACAGTACTCCGTACAGTAGATAGATAGACCATCCATTATTAGCATACTCACAATCAAGAGACGTGATGCAATCTTGGTCAACTTGCGACTCGATGTTGGAACCGGAGTCGATGTAGTTCGCGCTCATGTGTATGTACGCACGGAGTATATCGAGTATATGCAGTTTCCTGTCTTACTCCGGCCAGGGAAGCGCATGAGATGAGGCTGGTGATGTCAGGCTGGGTCGGTGTGACAGATATCTGTCATACAACACCCATATTATTATGAATTTACTCCGTACGCTACTGACTGACTTTCCTTGCTCGTGGGAGATGACAAGCATGGGCTGCTGGAGTCGACGATGGGGGGGTATGCCCCATGCGATACCCGCCCGCCAGCCAGCCAGCCAGCCAGCCAGAGAAGTTGGAGACACCGATAGTATGTAATCATCGACGAAACTGGAGATTGATGGAGATGAAGCCAGTGGGCTGTCGGGTCCGTAAGGTAACAAACAGTAAGAGATCGTATTGGGCTGAATTTTGCAAAACGCACACCGTTCAGGGCTGAGACGGAGCCAGACACCGACACCAACAGGTAAAGTAAAGTAATGACAGGGTTCGCTATGATATCCCCATGCATAAGTCCGGCTGCTCGTTCGGAGTTGTCGTCCAGAGGGCGTCCGTCGGAGTTTCGAAGCCAGACTTGGATGGACGAGGTCGTGGGTTTTTGGCGGTGATGGGCGATGATGGGCTGGCGATGGATGGACCCGAGTAACGATGAGCCACACACAACGGTCCCATCAATATAGACCAAGACATCCATCAGCTACGACGGCGAGGTGCTACCCTGATGGGCTCACCGTTTAATTAGCCAGCTGCTCCTGTTTTATCAACACATGCACTCCGTATGTAAGCAAGTAAGCAAGTAAGCAATAACTAGTCAAGTAAAATAACCATCTCGTACTTCTCGTTCCTCGCCCTTTTACCCCGTTGAGAGAAGACGTTTCCTTCGCTTCTTCTTCGACCGCCCCCGTGTTCGTGTCCTGGAGGAGAATGTGAAACGCCCAGCAGTGATTTAACTTCTATCCGCCGTTTCTGCGCGGTTTGGACGGGAGATTGCCATCCTGCACTCGCTAGCCGTTCGCGAAGGAGCTAGCTGGGTAGTTTGCTGCCCTAGGGGGAGTTCCTTAATTACTTACTTACTCTCGCACTCGTCCTAAGATCACCAGTTCGCTTGCTCCGAGCAGGGCCCCCTTCTGTATCCTCAACATTAATGCTAACGGATATACGGGGTACGCGCATTCACATGGAGTTTCCGAGGAGCTCTAGCTGTGTTTGGTAGGAGGGTCAACCGTCTGGACTGGAGTCTTTATGCAGTTCGTGTCTTGTCTGGCCTCGGTTGGCCGGATAAGGCTGGCAGTGCTCTTTCTCCTCGCCTTCTCCCGTCTTCCTTTTTTGTTCCTTCGTGCTTCCTTCTCTTCCTTTCCCTGCTGCATACCCTTGCCACGTGTGGGGAGCTGCTGGAGGAGTTCGTTGATCGTTGCGCATCTTCTTCAGGGTCCATACAGCCGAGATGTAACCTGTTTGGTATGACTTATACTGCTAGGTGGCCTCTTCAGACCCAAAGAGTAGGAGACGAAGCAGCTTCCCAGCCCCCTGATGCAACGTTGACTCAGTTGGTTCTAGTTGTCTCGCTCATCCTCAAGGGGGGGGGGGGGGTTTCTGTTCGTCCGTCTGTATGCCTGTATTTCATGTTGTAACGAACGGGTGTAATCTTACACACAGCCAGCCCAAGGCTCTCTCAGGACGAAACACATGCTGCCTGCCTGCTCGTCTGTCTGTCTCACGTCTGGCCTGACCGAGCATCATCTATATTAATAGATTTTATGCTGCATAACCATACATAACTTCACAAGACTTCATCAGCACCCCAGGCCGTCCTCGATTGAGTTGATCTCAGGATCCTGCCACGTGCGGCTGACATTTGAATATGGCCGTGCATCAGCGGTCCCTTCTCTTTGGACACCCGTGGGCCCCTGCGTGCTTCGTTCCCGTTGTCGATAGGCAGAGTCTGGGTGGGAGTGCATGATGCACGTTGACTGGCCGTGGTATCTCTCCGTCTGCAAGTATGACGGTATCATGTTGATACTGGTTTTCAGAGATATGGTATCTCGGGAAGTGTGCCATGAGTGGTATTATTGGTGATGAAGCATGGCGAGCCGAGTCTTCAGATGCTGCTCCCGTCGGTGGAAGGAGTAATATGAAATACTTTTTCAATTAGATAAGGCGCTCTTCTTGCAGGAGGTCAAGAGTAGATTCACAGCCTTACATGTACAGCATGTGGCAGATATATTGGTTGTACCAATCATACTTGTCACGCTGCCTTTCAAGGCTATACATATAGCCGGTTTTTAATTGACCATTCAGTGGCCACTTCTCGGGATTTCCACTCTGATACCATCCATATCTTGCCTGGTATTTTGCATTCTCACAGTACAGGACCAACGAAATAAAACTTCATTCCATCGTTCCTGCTTTGCCAAAATGAGACCTGAAAACGGAAGGAGAGAAAGGGAGCATCGTTCTTTCCTTCCGTCTTTTTTGTTTGTTTGTTTACTTTTATTCTCTTTCCATCACTTCTCTGCTTGTTACTTGTACCTTCTTCTTTCTGGTCAGCTAGGCCATGGATTCCGCGGTTGAAACCCGCATAAGTCCTAAAACGGTTCGAGCCAGCTTATCCTATCCTTCGTCAGCGTCTATAATCTTCTGTCAGTGACTTCTAGAACTCATGGTCGTACTTACAACGTACATCTATGATATATGCCCTGATGACAATCTGATTTGCATCAGGGAAACGAACAGGGAGAAAAAAGAAAGAAAGAAAAAGAAAGAAAGAGAATAGAGGCTTGGGTAGTAGATTCAGTCGACCTACAGATAGGTGTGCATATCCTGACTGGAAGCAATGATTCTTCAAGTAGAAATAACAAAGGAACGAATACTGCGCTCCTCAATTGTAACAACCCTTTTCCTCTAGCCGGAGCAACAGAAAAGGGTAAAACTAGGATGGCATGAGTAAGATTGAATCTTCAATATCAGATCCATGGATGAAGAAACTCTCAGTTAAAGCTTGTAACTGATGCCAACGCGTGTTCTTGCTGATAAATGAGCACCTGAAATCAAGCCGTTGACCCTCTGTTGACAAAACTGCTGGTAGGGTGACTCTGCAGGATATCTGATACTATCAAGGCAAAGGGAAAAAGAGCCAAGTTCCTGGAGACTCCAGACAAACGCCCTGAAAAAAAAGGGGGTAAAAGGGCGATGTCTGGACTGCGGTTGTGGCTCGGGAAGACGGTTGAGCTTCCTTTCGGGGTCCCACCCTGAACCACAGAACCGGAAAACTCAGGCAACTCAACTTCAACGTCTATCTTCGTCATCTTCTGATCTTCACCATTCATCTCCCCGCGTCTTCACCACTCATCAACAGTTTGACGCCTGTTGTCCCTGAGTATTACTCCACAGTCGTTATGATGGCGTGCTCTTTAGTGGATTGAGTCTTCTTTACAGCGCTGCCTTGCAAATCTTCTGTGCCACATTTGTCAACACGCAAAAAGCAAGGGGTATCTGGGAGACAGCAAGACGACAAGGAGACGGGACTGCTGCGTACAGTGATCGCAACTAATGGACCCTCACTCGGACATCCTGCGAGAGCATTGTCATGCAGCTTGGGGGCCGAGTAGCTAGCAGTATGCAGCGTGAGGCAATACCCCCAAGGATGAAGATCCTGCATCATAAATTATTTAATCAGTTGGCCTGCTAACGCACGTTTCATCACTGCCTCTAGCAACGCCATCGACCTTTGTTCATCCAGATACCGTCTCGTTATGGACCTGATGCTTGTTGATAGGACATGCGGCCGGCGCTGCGGCTCAAACTCCACCGCAAGGCCAGTCGTGTTTACAAGCATCTGAGACCCCGCCTGAGGTCCATTCAAATAATGGGGTATTTCAAGACACCTGATATCGCGGCTAAGGGCTAAAAATATCCCAGATAGCTAGGAAAGGAGGCGGTCGGGTATACAGGCATCCGTGGCGCAGCGACATCAGGGTTGACATATTATTCACGCTGTATATGCGGTTTCAAGCCAGGATCCCGCTTCCCTGGGCCCTCCTTGGTCCTCCTCCAAATGAACACAAGCTGCGGTGTCGGAAATCAGCTGTGATTATGACCCTTATGAAGGGGGAAAGAGACTTGTTTGGTCGGCGATGATGAAGAGTTGGATTTTTTTCCCTTTCTGTGTGCAGTAGAGCTTGGCCAATCAGTTCGCAGCCTACATGGGTAGACGATGAGAAAGCTACGCCTTTCGTACGACTTGGAGACTATTTCTTCCTCCATAATAGGCCTCTTGGCCATTCAGGCACCGAACGTCTATCGTACGTCCATCCTGATGTTGGGATGTGGTCATCCTCGTCAGAGGCCGCGAGGCCGCAGTGGCTAGCGAGCGAAGCCTTAATTCCCCATATGCACGGCATCAGCTATCCAAGACACACTTGGATGCTGGATAAGTCTATCTAGTCAACTAGCTAG